TTCAATTTTTTAAAAAATATATCTCTTTTATCTCGAAGGGCTGTTACAGTTTAATATTTTGGATTTCCTAATATATTTGTACTGTGAATTCACAAGCAAGGTGTTCAGCCTTTTAAGATGTCAAATACACTGGAAGTAAAGGAATATGTGCATAGAGTATTTCATTTAATATTCTTTTTTAAAGGCAGCTTATAAATGAGTGTTTATGGGTACACAGAAGTGTGTATTTCAATGCGACTAAAAAAGAAATAACAAAAAAAAGGGCAATCATTTGTCTATCCATTTATCAGTAGATTGTTTTCACTTTTTTCATTCTTACCAGGCTCATTCAGTCACTCTTCAGACAAATAAAAAGCCAAAATGCATGTCAAAATGAGGATAGGAACTCATAAACGGAGGAAAGGGGGAAAAATAATGCATTTCATTATGCTGAAGTTAAGAGTCTGTTCCTCTCTTTTGACAACCCACAAAATGATTAGAGATGATCAGAACTAGAGCTCCCTGAAAGTTGCTGTGCCCTGCTTAAACCATCAGGGTGATGAAATTTTAATAAAAGTGATGATATATAAACTATGGGATTATTTCCTTTAATCGGCAAGATAACTATTTTGTTACTGGTTTAGCAATGCAGCAATACCCTATCAAGGTGGCTTCCCTTGACTGTCCTTTTCCAGTTGTGAATTCACTATTTGGGTGGGACTAAACTTGCAGAGTGCTACAAGAGGCTGAATACAAGTGAAAGAACCTATTTGCAAACGACCGTTCTTAAAAGACAACAATCCTCTGTGTGCACGTGAACTTAATTGGCTCAGCGAGCTGAAGGAGACGTGTCATTGCCAGGTTAGGACAGGTTTTTCCCGTGTGTGTCAACACGGTGAGTACACACCTCAGCAGCACGCTGCACTTCTAAAATCGACTTTGAAGCCTCTGTCCTCACCTGCCAAGAAGCAGAACCTTGGTATATAAGGCTTTCGATGAATAGTTTGAAACAAGTAGGGTAATGTTCTATAAATTTTTTAGCCACTCTTGATAATTTGAGATGCTTAAAATGCGTGATCTGTCTTGAGTGAGCACGTAGCAGTACTTTTCATTTTACTGTTAAAATTATACATGTCTATATTATGAAATGCATTCATGCCTCATTTCTCTATTACAGTATCCCAACTAATAGTATAATCTGTAACCAGTCTTTAAAGAAATATATAATACACATTTGCACTGTATGTCTTGTTATCTGAAATGTGGAGGAACCAGCGTGCCTTGTTCTTCAACCTGACATGTTTACAATAGCAAAAAAAAATTACAGAATTTATTTTGTTACGGCAGTGTGTTGCTGAGGTCTGTGAAAAAAACAGTATTAGTCATAACTTAGCAATTGGCTTTAGCAGCAACCATTATTATACATATCGTTTCTACAGCTCCCTATTTTATGTTGAATTAACCTTTGATATAAAACATTAAAAATGTTCTGCAAGTTGGCGTTGAGCTAAACGTGCTCCAAACTAAGATACAATGCATATGAGAACCAAGTCAGAAATAGAGAAAGTAGGGCATTTCCATCTGTGACAAGGCTTACCAGGAAGTTATCACTGCAAAGTGAACTGTCCTACATTGACTAGAACAGAAAATGGTCTGGGAAGGAATGTAATTAAAACTAAAGGAGACTAACAATGGAAGAGAGACTTCCAGCAGGTGAAGAGCAAAAGGTCAAGAATCTGGGAAGATGATAATCATTATCTCCGAGAAATTCTCACTGCAGAAGGGGAAAACTATCTGGCAGTGGCAGATCATCCTAAAGAAGAAAAAGAATTTGATCTGAGGGGAGCTTCAGCTAGCAGCCAGTGGTGGGAGCAGCCCCCGCTGCCGGCGTTTGTCGCTCCAGCTAGCAGCCAGTGGTGGCAGCAGCCCCTGCTGCTGTCTTCTGTAGTTACTGACCAAATAGGAAGATTGTTACGTTAATGCACATGGAAATGAGTTGATAGGATTAATGCTCGTGAGGTCACACCCAGCGAGCAAGTTTCTGGTTTAAATTCTTGAAAAGTTGATGTGTGACTTGCTCGTGAGGAACCAAAGAGGTTGGCTGAACGACTTTGCTGTGAAGCCCGGCACAGGGAGAAAGATCAGAGGGCTCCGCGGTAATACGTGTGCCTGAGCTTGTGTTTAGGTGAAAAGATCAAAGAGACTGTGTGACATGCCAAATGTGGGCACTCGCCCTCTAGAGTTTAGATCTCACTCCTTTTGAGGCAATTTCAGTATTAAACACTAGGCAGATAAAAGAAATCTCTCCGTCTAAAACCAGCAATCTTGGATGAATAAATTCACCTTGGCAGCAGAATGCGAGGATATTTGATGTAGTAAGAAAAATGGCAGAGGACTGACCAGAAGGAGATGAGTGATGTTGCTATGCTGAACATTGATAAGGCTTTCAATTGTGGGCAAAAACATATCAAGTATAAATTAAGTTTAGTATTTGATGCGCTGTGAACAAAATGAAGGACACACATTACAATCCTTCATAAAATGGAATACATAGTAAATTGTAGACAGAACTATTCCCTTTCTTTCTTTTTGTTCCTGGCTATAAAAGTATGAGAAATCTTGTTCTTACCTTTCACATCTCAGTCACATTTTCTTCCTGCACTAGGACACCTCAACCAAGCAATCGTGGCTTTTAAGGTTCTTTCAGCTGTAAAGTCGTGTTTTTAAGAACATGAACGTGTAGCATGATTTTTTGCTGATCTTTGAACTCTCCCCCACTGTAATAATATTAGCTGCTTAGCCCAGGCTTATGATGTGCTTTCATGTATTTGTGAAAGAAGAGACCAGTTCAGGAACTATAGGCATGGAGTCAAAAAATCATAATGTGGAAGCAAGAATGCATAAAATAAGAACAGCGACGTTCAGTGCTGCGTACTGAGAAGCCACGTACTGCACTGAATACTACTGATGTGTATTATTTTCCAACTCAAGTGGTACACTCAGAAATATGAGCATTAATTTTTCACAAAAACTGTTTTTCAAAGGGTGAAAAGTTCTTCTTATAGGGAAATCTTACCTTCTGTGACTTTGTTTGAAATAAAGACCAGTACTTGGCTGTTGGAATCAAAGGACACAAGTAATCCCCAACAAAATAATATGATACCATTTCCGGACATAAAGCGGAAAATAGAAAGGGACACTAATTGGACAATATGTATTCCCTTGCGAGTTGAAAAGGGAAGTTGTGCATGAAAATAAGTTTATGGAACTGAGGAATGAGAGTGAAGGTCATGACTAGGCTAGCAGTCACATTCATGCACAAGGAATGTTGGTGTGTTTGTTTCGGTCTCCCGCATAAATGCAGCATCTCGGCTTGCCAAGTCCAGTATGTGAAAAAGAGCCAAAATTGGGGCTAGAGGCACAGTGGAAGAAAACTCATTATCTTGAAATGTACTTAACTTCAAAAATAAGTTTCCCCACTTGATTTCCTTGGCTTGCAGTATGGTTTCTGATTTCTAAACATTCTTTTCTTTTTCCTGTTGCTAAGTGAAAGTCTTATGTAAACAAAGGAAATCAACTGTGTTAAAAGGATGGAAATGACTGTATGCAAAAAGCTGTCAAATCTACAGAGTAAGCAAACTGGAAAAAAATAATTCTTAACCTAATCCTTTCAGTTACAGCAATGCTGTGCAGTACTAATGCTGTTCAGAAAAAGTTAGGGTGTTGTGGGTTAAAACTTTGGAATTAATTCTCTCAGTTTAAGAAGAAGAGTTTCTGTAGCCTCAGTGATATGCTTGGGGTTTGGGTGGTTTTTTTGTTTTGTGTTTGTTTCCCAGAAGCAGCAATTTTTATTCTAATTGTAAGCGTGAAGCATTTAGTGCACTGTGAGGACCTGCAGGGTCACGTTCTAGTTACTCTAAGAGACTAAAGCTTCCTTCAGCTTCCTACTCTAATCTCATGGGATAGGAATGAAAAACTCCTGGGAGCAAACAGGTCACACGAGGGCCTGGAATCACCCTTCTGATACTTGTTCCCCCCCGCAGCAGGTAGCAGCAGGCTATACTTCAAAATGAGGAGCCCCAGCTAAACACACTAGGCTGACAAACCCAAGCTGTCAGACTGGAAGAGTTAATCTTAAAGGCAGTTTTATGATCAGGAGCTCATGTGACACTTTACCTCTCTATACTGTGACCATAGTGCCTGTTTAGTAGTAAGCGTGGTCTTGGGTCTGGTATCAATGGGTTATACCTAATGCAGCGTAGGAAAAGACATGGTTTAAACATCACAGGTCTATTTCAGTTACAGAAATTGTATCTACCTATTCATATGAAATGGATATATAGCTATTGGTTTAAAGAAACGCCAGTAGAGCCAGATAAAAAGGCATCTCCTGCTTGGCTTCTGCCACAGTTCTCAAACTGCGATCCACAGACTGTTAACAATTATATATGCTAGCTGTTCCTATTTCCAGCTACAAACAGCTTAAGTAGATTAAATATTACCCCAGAATCTTTCTCTTATTAATACAAGGGATGTTAAGCACTCAGCAACAGAAGGGAAGGTGGGTCTGCACAATCACTGAATAGGAAAGGCCCAAGAGACACTCTTATTAAGACACCCTTCTTACGAAAAATTTTGAGGATTGCTACAGTAACAGGAAAATCTAGTCTAGTAACAGGGATTGAGTACAGAATGCTACAGAATTTAGCACCAATAAATATGCTTCCTTTGAAATTGTGAATTAGATGTGCAGCAGGATCTGGTCACACTTCAAAGAATAATATGCAGAGCCGAAGATCCATCTGTTTGCTCTCGCTATCACCATTGAGGCTCCTGTATGTTAAGCAGTCCTGACTACTTCAAAGCACGTTTGAAGTCTTTGCTGTGCCCACCCCATGAACAGAAAAGCAAATATGCCTTAACAATACAAGCAGCGGGTATTTTTGTTCATTATACTTGTAAATGAAAGCAATTTGTTCCTGCTATGTATCATTTCTGGACTTTTTTTTGTTTTTTTCCAGCTACGATAGCGAGGGCCGTCTAACAAACGTTACGTTCCCAACTGGAGTTGTCACTAACCTTCACGGGGAAATGGAAAGGGCCATTACAGTGGACATTGAATCGTCCAGCAGAGAGGAAGATGTCAGCATCACTTCCAACTTGTCATCAATTGATTCTTTCTACACCATGGTTCAAGGTACTGTAAGCAAAAGATTGCTCAGCATATAGTGGCCTGAAAGCCATTTTCTTATGATGCAAGCAGCTCCAATCGCGTACATTAGAGGAAAACTTTAGAGGCATAGTGTTGAGAGTAAGTGGTGATACACAGATGTTCACATTTATATAAAGAACTGTTCAGGGCAAGAAGGAGTTGCAATGAAAATAAAATTAAATATGTTTTTTTAACCAAATAGTTTTCGTAAACAGCTGTGAGAAGTAGTCAGAATACCTACCTTGCATTAAAAAGGAGTCTTGGAGAGAGAAATGAATTGGAAGGGAAATAGGTGCAGAAATAGCATGAAGTGAGATTTTAGCTATAAAATAGCATGTGATGTCCCAGCAGCCACATCCTTGCAAAAGCCAGTATTCTTAACATGTTTAGGATTAGGCTAAAAATGCCTAATGAAACAGTAGAAAATGTGGTTTGTGCCAGTGCAAAGAATATACTCTGAGGGTGGGATTTTTCTTAAATGTTTTAGCGACTTGAAGATAGGTCCCAAAGGGATTTGTGCTCTCATGTGGTACAATCTCACCCTGGGTGTTTATGACCATTGGGTCAGTTATGTGAAGTCAAGATGTTACGTGCACATACTGCATAAAGTCTGCAGAGCAAAGGCAGACTCTTAACGCCTGTAGGTAACCTGTGCTTCTCTTTTTTTGTCTTTTCAGATCAGTTAAGAAATAGCTACCAGATTGGTTATGATGGCTCATTGAGAATCCTGTATGCCAGCGGCCTGGACTCGCACTACCAGACAGAGCCGCACGTGCTGGCTGGCACTGCCAACCCTACGGTGGCAAAGAGAAACATGACCCTCCCAGGGGAGAACGGGCAGAACCTGGTGGAATGGCGATTCCGGAAAGAGCAAGCTCAGGGAAAAGTTAACGTGTTTGGCCGAAAGCTTCGGGTAAGTGTGTAGGCGTGCGTGGGATCTGCTGCGTTCTCATTAAGGGAGAGGAAATGTAAATACATTCCTGTAGATATTGCCATCCGACAACCACAGAATATTTACTGTTGATATACTTACTGTAGAGCTGGAAGTACTTGCTTTTATTACTTCATTTACTGGCTGCTTTTCTCCATTAATTGCTCTTTTCTGTAGACTTTAAACTATTGTTTTTAGGGGGAATGCATTGGAATAGATCAGGATAAAAGAAGGATTTTCTGCTTTCCTTCAGTATTTTTGTTTCTGGTACTGAATTCACAGATATGATTTTAAATCTTGTTTTAAATTATTCTGCTGTAAGTTGGCAGAGTCCTATGATTTTCTTTCTTTTTATTTTAAATAAAAATTGTAATAATACTTATCTCTGGTAGAAAGGGTTTAACTGTGTGTGCATGTATACGGCATTTTCCTCTAACATATGTCTTTACCATTTTGTTGGCATTTCTTCTTCCTATATAGTGAGAGAAATGTAAGTAGGAAGCAAACTATGATTTATGACAGCCATTTGGTAAAGACAACATAGATTAAGCATTTACAATTGAGTTGCCAGGAGACCATTTCAAGACCACATCAGAGGTCTGACTTACTATTAGAACTGAACTCAGTTCTTTAAATTAAGGCCTAGGCAGTATATCAAGCAAAGGTGAGTAATTTCAGACCACTCGACTTCTAAGAGGTGACATGCCATTTTCAATCTTAAAATATTTTTTTATCATCCTTTGGGACAAGAAAGGAGGGAATGCTGTCATGCACCTTATATTCCTTTCTACCACTTGCTTTGCAAGAAGAATGGATTTTTTCCAAGAAGGAAGGATGATTATGCACAGCAGCTGCTACTTAAGAACAACATACTTGTACCTAGCTATGGCGACTGTCTTCCATGGATAAGGAAGAGGAAAAGGAAGCCGTGCTTCTGGAGCTCATCCTTGTGGTTCTGGTTCATGGGCATGTCATTACATAGCACAGAGGGATAATACCCCTGCCAATTTCTTTTTGAAAGAATCCCAAGAGAAAAAGAAAATATGGCATTTGGTTTTGGCAGGGAAACAAATCATCATGAGTCCAGTTCTCCGAAGTGAAGCAAAATCTTGGCATTCAAGTGCAGAGGAAGCAAAAGAAATGTCATGGGCAACTTTAACTTGGAAGAGTTAACAAGGAAAAAAGAACAGCAGAGAAGAGGGAAACATTTAACAAGATGGAGGGGAAAGTGAGAGATTATAGATTAGGATAAATTAGTAGTAATTAAAAGTGTATATACAAATTGGAGATGTAGGGCAGGTGGAGAATATGGGCTAATGAGAGATAAATGCCTAAGAAAACCAAGTATACTTGTCAGTAAAGAAAATAAAAGGAAGATTTTTTTGAAATTGATTTACATGGAAAGATACTACAGAAATGTCACTGCGTGGTGAGTAGGGGGATGTAGAAAAGTGGAGAAGGAAAACAACAGAAAGAAGAACAGGAATAACTTAGGGAGTTCATCATTTCCATCTACAGATATGTCAGTAACATTTTGCTGCAAAGGAAACAAATGTAGATAAAAAACAGTGACAAAAAGTATTGCCAGTAAATGTACTCATATATACAGCACTTTCACTGCATTATATGTATGCAGTATCTAACATTACAATGTACACTCTCAGGTACTCTCTTTGTTTTCTATCTTATATTAGTTCTACCCACTCCTAGTAGTCTTTATAAAGAAATTAATGAGGAATTATGTCATCTTCCCTTAACTCAGCAATCATCTGTCAATCTTTCTTTTGTTCAGACTCCTTTTATAATTGTTTGATAAACTAGTTTTATCGCTGAAACTCCAGGTTTGGTCTGTAGGCTGGCCTTTGGCAGTCCTTGACAGGAAAGAGACTTTTTAGGATATTTGGTGTTGAGGCCAGACGGATCTTCACTCGAAAGGGTCCCAGATAAAGGACCTGACAGGAGCTCTGTCTCAAGCAGAAAGGTGACATAAACACGGGAAATGCTCTGCCTCCTCCGAGACCTTACATGCCCCAAGTTCTGGAGAGGTCCCCAGTTTTCACATTACCTCTGGAATCTCTCTGTAGGGCACAGCAATATATTCCTACTCCTAACAGGAGAATCACAGTCAGATTTAACACTTCTTATTGGAAGGGAGAACAGGAGTTAAAGGAGGGCAGGACAGATGGACATATAAATTCCTGAAACATAACAGGACAGTAGGTGGGGATTGTCAAGAAACTCAGTTTTATGTCATTAAGTGTTTCTTCATTGAAAATTTCCCAAATAACTTTTTTTATCATCATGAAACTCAGAGGCTTCAAATATATTTGGAATGTGGCTGTCTTAGACAAAATGAAAATGTTTAATTTTTGCTAGGAAAGCATTTTGGTAGCAGAGCTGTTGTTAATAAATGCTTCAGTTGAAGGCAGTACTTTAGATAACATATGTTATGCCAGCCCCATACTGTCCAAGGAAAGAAGCTGTAATCTGTATAACGAGATTATGCAAGCACAGCCAAAATTTCACCAAAAGCTCACACATCTGAATGCAAGACCTCTCTCAGCAGAATCTGGAAGCATGAATCTGGTTGGAAAACAGAGGCATTTCCTTTCTTTCCCCTCGTATCCCACCCTTGAACAGACCAGACAGATGGAAAGTGAGAAGGCAAGGGATGTGATTATCCCATTTAGCAGATAAGGCAGTGAGACAGCCAGATTAAGTACTTCACTGCAATTTACAGCAGAAGGATGAGCTTAGCCAAGAAATTAACCCCAATTGCTTGGATGTCTGCCTTAACCATAAAACCACCCTTCCCTCTTTGCCAATTCAGAAATCAGAAGCGCCCATTCTCACTTCAGTGTCTAAACCTAAGAGGTAGACAAGAAGATTAATAAAAATTGTAATTAAAAGTAAAACAAGAAAGGGAAGATGGAGAGAAAGGGAGGAAAAAAGTCAGAGAATCAAAACAGGCAGGGCGATGCAGAGATGAATGCAGGCATGTGTGGAAGAGGCTAAGAAAAGTCAGAGATAAACAAGATTTAGAATGAATTTAGGCAAATGAGTGAATATTACATGTTGGAAATTTTAAACAAAAACTACCTGAAAATGAAGAAGTAGAAGAAAATTACAGAAAAGGAAGTGAATGAGAATGCTTCATAGTTAAGTTTAACCTACTTCTAGAATCAGTCTTGTAATATTAATTTTTCAAAGTATATTTAAATAACATTTGATGGCTCACTAAATAGATAAAGTAGCTCATCTGCATCTGCTAGACTTTGTGTTCCTTACTTTGTAGATTTACATGAAAACTTGATTTTTGTTCCTAAATTGATAGTGCTGATTGTTCTTATGCCAGTGATTTCGTTTTAGAGAAAGGTAATATAGATGATAGACAGACAAAGAGATATAAGCAGGATATTTTTCTTTTCATATTTGCCTATGACCCATCACCAACACTTTAATACCTTTTATGCCAATAATAAAAAAAAAAATCTAACATATTGGTCTTTTAGAAGCTTATCAGCCTCAGGGTAGAAGTACCAACATCTATGGCATATGAATTTTTGAACATGCAGCCCTGAAAAAATGCAAGAATTCTCCAGTAATTTCTTTGGTCAGGGTATCTATTCTCTTACTCTTTTCTGAATGTCAGTTAGCCATATTTCTTCACCTCTTTGTAAGGTATTCATCAAGTACTTGAAATTTTAAAAGAATTCTTAATATGCATAGCTGTGTGTCCATTTGTCCCCAACTTCTCATATGTTAGCAAAATACAGTACTGAAAAAATCTTAGTTGTCAGTGTTTCTCCCCCACCTGGAATAAGTTTTAAAAGACACATCAGATACAGAAATGGTTTACAGCTAAACAAAGAAATCCTAGGGGCCTGTTTGAGAACACTAAAAAAGCAGTTCAGTGCAGAGGGGGAACAGAGAAGTGCAAAGATACCAATGTGGGAAAAGAAAACCAGGCATTTTCCTTTCATAAATACAAAAATGAGAGCTCATTCAATGAAACTGAAAGTTAGTATACTTAGAGCACTGAAAGGGTGTGGAGGATTTCAGTGTAAAAGTATTTCCCAGAAATCACTATCCATCACTATAGTTCACATACATAAGTAATGCAGTTTTGAACATAAATGTATCTAGGCTAAGGCTTTAATTTCAAATCAAAATAGTTACAAACTTCAAAGCATTTATAACATTTTCAGTGGTTCAGTCACATTCCAGTCAGTTATGGCTTTAAGTGGTCAGTTAACTAGGCGAAAGACATAATCCTCTACTAAGGATTTCAGCCTCATAAATATGTTGCAGCAGTGGATAGTATATACTGAGTGAAACTTCTGTTTGATCTAGGTATTTTAAAAACTGTTGAATCTTAATTTGAAGACTTAACATGCTTTTGAAGATCTTGATTTTGTATTTACTATTTTGAAAAATCTTGCTGTGGAGGACTAAGATTGCGTTCTTTCTTGGCATGATTGTTGTGAACTGGACAAGCAGTTGCTGAGAATGTGTTTTGACAATTTATACTGTCAATAATTCGCTAGATACACTTTGGACTGCCTACAAAAGAAGTGGTTTGTTCGCTGAAATGGCCCTATCTGTTGCAGAAGTTTTCAGTGCACATCTTTCAGTATTTTCTTAATAGCTGACTAATCATCAAGAAAGAATACATTCTAACAAATTCTGGGCCATGTTTTCATATAATTATACCTTCTAAAGTAGATGCTAATACAGTGCCTTAACGTTTGCATCAAGAAGGTGCTAAAATAATTCAAGCACACAGCAAATCAATCACTGTGAGTGGTATTTAAAGAACAGCTAGCTTTGTGGAAATAATAAGTGGGTAGGGTTTGAACAGCATGATTTATTGTGTCATTTTGTTTGCTTTAAAAAGGTTAATGGCAGAAACCTCCTTTCAGTTGACTTTGATCGAACCACAAAGACTGAAAAGATCTACGATGACCACCGTAAATTTCTGCTGAGGATTGCCTACGACACGTCAGGGCACCCCACCCTGTGGCTCCCGAGCAGCAAGCTGATGGCTGTCAATGTTACCTATTCATCCACAGGTCAAATAGGCAGCATCCAGCGAGGGACGACTAGCGAAAAAATAGAGTATGATGGACAGGGAAGGATAGTGTCTAGAGTGTTTGCTGATGGGAAAACTTGGAGTTACACATATTTGGAAAAGGTAAACAACACTTAGGTTTTCAAAAATGCTAGAGATGCACTGAAATTCTGCAGTGCCTGTCTGCTGCAGACAAAACCAAAATAGGTAGTAGAAGCACATTTCAAGTATTCTCAGTATCAACATTTGATTCCTAGGGGAATGTTTTATACAATAGACACGTAATCACACTGTAGCTAATTGCTAGGAATTGATGTGGTTTTAAATTATTTACGGCACCGACTAACAAGAAGCATCTGTATTTACTTCTTATCTTAACACTTCAAATAAGATACAGGGACTAAATCCCTGCAATTCAACTGAAAATAATTTGTTTGTAAATTCTTCACTGTCTTTTTTCACAACCAAGAAAAGCTCTTGTTTCTAAATAGTTACAGCTGTCAGTTTGTACTTGCTATATGTTGTAGCATCAAAATAAACAATAGGCAAAAGATTAGGAATCTTCACTGTATGTAACTGTTGCTGAATGATAGCTCTCCCTCTAGAAATACCTGTGAAAAGCCCCTTGTGAGATCTCATGCCTGATACACAAAAAGAGAATCCATTTCTTTCTGGGGTTTAAATATATTTCTGTTGAAGCTGTTGCTCAGCAAATACTGTTTACTAGTCACTGCAGACATAATTTAATCAATACATAATAGCCACACATCAGAAAAATGTCAGAATAATTCCAAGTAGCTCCTTTTGGTATAAATAATCAAACAATTATTTCACCTCTGTCTTAAAAGCTTACAGAACAAGAAGACAGTATTCAGGGATCTCACGCTATTCAAATTCTTCAAAATCATCTCTAATTGTAGGGAAGAAATTGTATCTCCCATATGTTGTTCTCCTCCTGAGTTAATGGCTCTAAGACAGTTTTACTTCTTCCCATATTAAACATGACTTATCTGCATCCATTGACAATCTGCTGTTTAGCTGTGAGTGCTTGATAAAAGAGTGATACAGTCATAACAAGTAGCACATTATGAATGTGGAACTACTAATTACAGAACCCCTTACAATTAAGCATCCAAGTAAATTAGGCAGGGAGATGTTAACAACATATAAGGTCAAGGATAACTCAATTAAAGAGGAGATAATTTTCTCAAGTGGGAATGTCACATTTTTGTGAAGAAATAGTGTCAGTATATGGACGGGGGGGGGTACTCCACCATTTGTCACATGGTAAAAATCTGTTCTTAATTTTCAGTCAATGGTTCTTCTGCTTCATAGCCAACGACAGTATATCTTCGAATATGATTTGTTGGATCGGCTTTCTGCTGTCACCATGCCCAGCGTTGCTCGTCATACCATGCAGACCATCCGCTCCATCGGCTATTACCGGAATATATACAACCCCCCGGAAAGTAATGCTTCTGTTATAATGGACTACAATGAAGAAGGACAGCTCCTTCAAACTGCTTTCCTGGGGACAAGCAGAAGAGTATTATTCAAGTACAGACGGCAGACCAAGCTCTCAGAAATTTTATATGATAGTACGAGAGTTAGTTTTACTTACGATGAGACAGCAGGAGTCCTGAAAACAGTAAATCTCCAAAGCGATGGTTTTATCTGCACCATTAGATATAGGCAAATTGGCCCACTGATTGACAGACAGATTTTCCGCTTTAGCGAAGATGGAATGGTAAATGCCCGATTTGACTACAGCTATGACAATAGCTTCAGAGTGACTAGCATGCAGGGTGTCATCAATGAAACCCCATTGCCTATTGATCTCTACCAGTTTGATGATATCTCTGGCAAAGTTGAACAATTCGGAAAATTTGGAGTTATATATTATGATATTAACCAGATCATTTCGACAGCTGTAATGACCTACACAAAACACTTTGATGCACATGGCCGCATCAAGGAAATTCAGTATGAAATATTTCGGTCATTAATGTATTGGATTACAATACAGTATGATAATATGGGACGAGTGACAAAAAGAGAAATTAAGATCGGGCCATTTGCCAACACCACAAAATATGCTTATGAATATGATGTAGATGGTCAGCTCCAGACAGTTTATCTGAATGAAAAAATAATGTGGCGATACAACTATGACTTGAACGGCAACCTCCACTTGCTCAACCCCAGTAGCAGTGCCCGTTTGACGCCACTTCGCTATGACCTGAGAGACAGAATAACTCGACTGGGTGATGTTCAGTACCGATTAGACGAAGATGGATTTCTGCGTCAGAGGGGTACTGAAATCTTTGAATACAGTTCCAAGGGCCTTCTTACTCGAGTTTATAGCAAGGGCAGTGGGTGGACAGTGATTTACCGTTATGATGGACTTGGGCGACGAGTTTCCAGTAAAACTAGCCTTGGACAGCATCTCCAGTTTTTTTATGCAGACCTTACTTACCCAACCAGGATAACTCATGTATATAACCACTCAAGTTCTGAAATCACATCTCTTTACTATGATCTGCAAGGACACCTTTTTGCTATGGAAATTAGCAGTGGAGACGAGTTTTACATTGCATCAGACAATACGGGAACACCACTGGCTGTTTTCAGTAGCAATGGCCTTATGCTGAAACAAATTCAATACACTGCTTATGGAGAGATCTATTTTGACTCTAACCTTGACTTCCAGCTGGTAATCGGATTCCACGGAGGCTTGTACGACCCACTGACCAAGCTAGTCCACTTTGGAGAAAGAGATTATGACATACTGGCAGGTCGGTGGACTACACCCGATGTTGAAATCTGGAAAAGAATTGGGAAGGATCCAGCTCCTTTTAATTTGTACATGTTTAGAAATAACAACCCAGCCAGTAAAATACACGATGTGAAGGATTATATCACAGGTAAAAGAAGTTACTTAATTGCAAGACTGTCTCCCACTTGCTCAAAAATTTACCTTTCTTTGTTCTCACAATCTGGAATGTGATTAACTGCCTTACAGGCTGAGGATATTGTCATGGGAAGGTTACTAAAGAAATTCTCAGGGAAGATAATTGTTCAGAAAAGTACTTGGCGTTTAAAAGCATATCTACAAAGTGATTTTAGCCTGGGGTGGCGGGGCTGGACCTATAGACATCCAGTTTAGACTGGAATTCACGATTCTGATGAAGCACCTAAATACGTCCTGTTTGGAAAAGTTCTTTACAAGGAAGCATTAAGCACTTAACAATGAGAACAATGACAGCAAACACACTTCCCAGAAATAATGAAATAGCAAAAGGGAGATCTTGAAAATATCTCATCCAGCTGTAGACACTGATCTAGGTACCTGCGTAAAAGATGTAAGATCCGCAGGCCATTACTAGCTTTAGATAACTAAACCTAAACCTTATGCCCTACACAGTCCTTATGGTGCTTTAATACTAGACTGTTGAAAGACAACTCAGACCATCTCAGTATACAGAGAGGTTCGGTTTTCCAAAGTACATTTTGGAGTACCAGTGGAATACATCCCTTCCTCTCCCACTGACTGAACTGTAACACAAGGTGCCTCAGCTCAAGATCTCAGTGCACTGGGAGAGGAAAGAGGAGCCCTGGGTTTTTCCAGTACTGTTCTGCATTACCCAGTGCACTTATCATGAAAAAAAAAAATATAGGCTTTTTGAGCAAGTACAAGAGTAAGAACTCTGCAAGACTGTTCATGAGAACCTCCTTACATGTGGATTAGAGTCAGACTTCTTCATGACTCTGGTCTACTGAGCAGCAAAAAAGTGCATATTCATGGACCAAAAAGACCAAACACAAGGAGTAAGACTGTAAGGCAGAAAGGGCAGGAGGCATCTTTCTGTGACCAGTTTAACTTATTAACACAGGCGAAAATAGTCACTGGAAGCTGGTTGCTATTTGGCAGGGTAGCATTTTGCAAGGCTACTAACGTAAAGAAAGCTGGCTAAGAAAGGGAAGTCCAATAAGCTCCAGGGCCAGCACAAAGTAATTAATACACAGCCAGGAGCAGGGAAGGAGGAGTAGGATATAGAAAAAGGAGCATGAATATCTCTTTTGGCAACAAAAAACTGCCAACTTGCCACTTCTTGTATAACTGTAGGGAACCTACATTCCTTTTATGAGACTAGAGTTAGTGCTAAGTAGTGTTTTCCATTATTGTACATATAAAAAAAAAACCCATGTCACCAGAAGTTTCTGAAAAATGTGTGGCTTGGATACATTTGGATTTTCATATTTGAATAGATGTAAATAATCTGAAACAGACAGTGCCAGACTACAGGACGGACTCAGCCCCACTTCCTTACGAGTTGAGAAACTACTACTCAGAAAAGCATCCTGGGAATCAAGTGGGTTTGCATTAATTTAGCAAACAGCAGCTATTAACAGGGTTGCTAACAGGCTGCCTGGGAGCAAGGACAATAACAGACCTTTGAATCCGTCCTCTTTTAGCAGCATGTGCTGTAGGGGATGCAGTTGCAATCAGATTCTTTGTGGCATTGAAACTGTTGCACTTAGTTCAAAAATTGCCCTCAAAATACAGTTTTAGTTCTTTTCTTAACATCTTTGATGTATGGAATACATAGACACACACTGCTCATATAAGGTTATCATTACAACTAGTAATTTGGCTGACTGGCAGTTTTAGATGCAGAGCTTCACGAGATCTGTCTTTTATCTGAGGTAAATATTTTTTATTCTTTTAACATATGGAAAAATATGGTTCCTCGTTACACTTGTTTGGGATTTTCTTAAATTAAAAGTACTAGACTTGGTAAGGAGCACTCTGTCATCTTCTCCTAAGCTTAGTATTTGTGAAAGATAGGGTAGAAAGACAGCAACAAGGCAGAGCACCCATTCTTGCCCAACAATTGTTAACTGATTAGCTGTTGGCACCTCTAATTTATTTATTTTTAAGAAAACATAAAATGCATCATAAATAACATTGTCTAATGCTGATTTAGTATCCTATCTGCTTACTGATGCAACTGTAATACATTTCATTAGCTTTTAATTTAATCAGTCCAACTTCATTTTGAAAAGGGCGAGATTTCTCTTGAATCAACATAAAATACCTGCCAAATCGTTTAAATTGTAATTGACCATATAGGTGTTATTTTAGGGGCAGTTTGAAGACATTACAAGAACACATACCTAACAAAAGGCATTATTCTTTTTTTTGCTTTGTTTTACCGTATTGATGGCGAAGGTGTGCCATAAAGTGTGTTCAGCATGAACACATGCTGAAAGCCCGATTACTTTAGGCTGTAGTAGAAGAAAATCTAACTTTAATTGTGCTCCTGTAGTTGTTCAGGAAGTCACTGAGGCCTTCAGAATCGCTGAAACCCACTGTGAAAGTGCCTTTCAAACAAGCATAGTACAACTCTTACGTAGAACAGAAGCTTTCTTCTAAGTTTAGAACATGAAATTTTCTGCACAGGCTTGCTACTCTAGCTGCAACACCGATCTAAATCCATACCTATCAAAATGAAGAACTGAATAATTTTCATGTTACAGAAGGAAGTCAACTCTGCCAAAAGCTAGTTGTTGTTGAAATTGTATGTTTACAGAATATAGAACAATTATAAAGTTTTTGTTTTTGTTTTTTTTAAAATAATTCTCTTTCAGATGTTAACAGCTGGCTGGTGACATTTGGCTTCCACCTGCACAATGCCATTCCTGGTTTCCCTGTTCCGAAATTTGATTTAACAGAACCTTCTTATGAACTTGTGAAGAGCCAGCAATGGGAGGACATACCAGTAAGAGACAAAACTAACCATACAAATGGAACAAGACAGAATATTCCCTTCTATTCAGATCTTATTGGGCATGGATAATCCTGACAGGTTTACTTGCTAAGTTGAATCTGAACGGTGCTTTTCAAACCTCTAATTTTACTTACTTTCAAAAGAATTTAAGAAATTACAAATGGTGGTTTTTTTCTTACCGATTTTCTGTGTTAGGTACCATTTTAAGTAAGCTTTTGTTTGCTTTCAGCAATAATAAAATGCAGAAAGACAATAATCAATGAAAAGAATTTTAAGACCCTTGGAAGATGTCTAAATTCTGCAGCAGAAACTACAGAGATTAGATTAGCACTAACACTCTGCCTGAAGGCAGAAACCAAATGCTGTAGGATAAAATAGACTGTGAAATAAACAGAACAGGTGATATAAATTATGCATACCATGCACCAATACAGTTTTACTTCTCTTTAATATTAACCATGTTTTATATGTAAAGATAAAATATTGAAAATGAAATTACCTGAGGTAAAACCCATCACATTACATAAAACCAAAATTCCAGGTGCTTATGAAATTCTTTGGGAGGAAGAAAATGAAATGCAGTCCTGAAAACCTCCTACAGTTCTAAATGATGGAAGAAATAAATGTGGAAGTTAAAATCTAAATCTGCTATTTAAGAAAATTATATTTACAAATGAAACTTACTCAAAGATCAAAGACCTATGCTCTCAAAAATCCTATAGTTCTCAGTTAAGAAAGAAGCGTTACAAGACAGTAAAATGGATAATCCCATTGTGAGCAGTCAAACCCAAATCTCTTTTTACAAGAATTGTGATAGAGAACTTTACAAGATTAAAAGAGGGTATGATCTTGAAGAATCTTACAACCTAATTTAGACCAAAAAAATCATTAGAAGGGTGGCCCAGCAGAAGGGAGCATGTGGAAGCTAATTTTGCATGCATGAAGTGACCCGCTGTGTATATATATATTTAATAGCCAGGGACTGAGTTGTAGAAAAAATGAGAATACTGTCTCCCATGAACAGCAGAAGCAGGGAAGGAGAAGTGTTGCGAGTGCTCTAGACACGGTGGTTGTATCAGGAGATAAGAGACCTGTCATCAGGCACAGCTGCGAAGAACTATCAGGTTGTTTATTTAGATTTCAAAGGCTAAAGAATTCAATTACCCACTAACAATAGCAAAGGTGCACCAGGAAGAGAACCAGTCTAGTCAAAGAGATGAGAGTGGACAGCTAGTTGTCAAAAATCTTCAGGGAAGAACTCAGCAACATGAGGAGTGCCAGGGGCATGTGACATGACAGAGAAAGAGAGAAGTGGGAGGAAAAGAAAGACTCGAAATTCTCAGGTAGGGAGAAGCTGTGACTATGCTATTCACTGTTGAACAAGCAAATGCAACCAGGAGCGAGAAGTAAGCACACAAGCCACTTAGTATTTTGAAACATTGTGGAGTGAGTGAGCTTTACTGAGCTCTGAGGTTTTGCTTCAGAGCTCTGAGGATACATGTTAAAAATAAACAGACTGTCATTATGAAGTTGCTACAGCATCTCACTGCTCTCACTGATTTAGACTATATCTTGTGCTTAATAGCTTTCATGTAGGATTTACAGCAGCTGAAATCCATACTCGTTAGCAAGTGCAGACAGAAATCTGCCACATTCAGGAGGAGTTGAGAGACCAAGTCAATTTGTAATTCCCTCAGGAATGGTCCCCTCCAGAAAGCTGCCCTCGTGGCAGAGCAGGGAAAATTTTGCCTTTTGCCAGCCTTTGATTAGCAGCAAGGTTGAAGTAAGGTTGTAGGAGTCTGTTAATGACTCCTGCTTGGTCTCCCACCCAGAAATTCAGGAAAACTAAACAGGCTTTTGCCTCATTCATCAGCAATGAATCAAATGGGTTAAACAGTATTTTACTGGATGGAGAAGGGGTCAATTGGAACATAAACTGGATCATCTACAGAAACTAAGTACTCCTTTTCAAAAGTGCAGCCAAAGCTATTTAAATCTTCCTCTCTGTT